GTTTTTTTTTTTTTTTTTTTTTTTTTTTTTTTTTTTTTTTTTTTTAACATTTACTTACTTATTTGGGAGAGAGACAGTGTGCATGAGCGGGAGGGGTAAGGGGAGGGGGAGAGAGAATCTCAAGCAGACTCTGCATTCAGCGCAAAGCCCGACTTGGGGCTCGATCTCACAACCCTGAGATCATGACCTGAACCGAAACCAAGAGTCTGACACTCAACTGACTGCGCCAGCCAGGCGCTCTAGACCATTTTCAATAGAATAGCCAGAGTGATCCATTAATCACTCCTCTACTTAAATCCCTCCAGTGACTTCCAACCCTGACAATGGCCTCCAAGGCCTGCCCAGCTTAAACTCCAGCCCTTGGTAGCTGCAGGAGCTCAGGAAGAGCGTGGTCTCATGTGCACACTGAGCAGATCCTTCTGAAAGGTGCCGCAGAAGGAGCCTGCAGTGAGCACTCCTTGTGGAGGGTTCTCTTCTGAAGGGAGATCTGAGCAGTGTGTGTGTGTACACATACATATGCATTTACAATGTGTACAGCGTTTTACATATGTACCCACATACACTGATATTATAGACAACAGCATAATATATTATTATTTATTTTATTTTATTTGTGGCCTCAGCTCAAATATAAGCTCCATATGGGCAGAGAGTTTTGACTGTTTTGTTTTAGAACAATGCCTGCTACATAATAGGCATTCCGTAAATATCTGTTGAATGAATGAATGAATGAGTAGAAATGCTTTGCAATCTAATGGTATCATTTTAGTATAGGTACAAAGAGCCTCGACACGTCCTAACCAGCTAAATCTGGCTATTATATTGAATTGACTGGAAGATTCAGCACGAATGAATGAGGGTTCTGATCAAGGACTGAAAACGCCGTTGAGGAAAGAACACCTCTTAATAACACAAGATGGAGAGGAGGTTTTTGTTGAATTTCAGTGGAAGTATTCTGCTTTGCCTGTGGGTGCAAAAAACCAACACACATATCACTTTGGAGTAATCTGAGGTACTCGTCAGAAAGGAATGTAGCTTCTCTGCAGCACAGGAATGAGCTCATAATATATTACAGGCATGTGATACTCTCTCAAGTAGCTTTTCAGTTTTCAAACACCTAAGCACCTCGGGAGTCTAATTTTATGGAGCTCTTCCAGCATCCTTATGATGGCGCCCCTCCCCCAACTCTGCTCCCTAGGCTAGCATCCTGATGGCCAGGAGCGGAAACTGTGGAATGTGCCTCTTTTCACAGGGGCTGATGGGAGGAAAGAGGCCCACCTTGGAAGGTAACATACCTACTGTCCACATCCACCTCTGTGACCAATTGTAGGTCCGCAAAATCACTTTAGTCACCAAATCCCAGTTTCCTAACATACATGCTGGCAGAATGGTGCCGGTTCCTCCCGCATTAATGGGCAAATGAATAGCTCACAATGAGTCATCCAACTATGGTGGAGATTTAAGGTGATTCTGATCGATTGCATACAGAAAATGCAAGTGTATTTGCTTAGTTAACATCTTTGGCAACTAAGTGGTGTCCTATCCCAGAGGCTGTAACTGGGAATAACTCAGGCTCCAAAGAGAAGACCGCGATAGATCAACGTTTTTGTTCTGTTAATAATGAAACAGAGAATGCCAGAAAATCTCTCTGTTAGGACTTTCAATTGCATGTGATAAAGTGCTTCGGAAATGGTCCTGAAACTTATCAGTGACCAAGACAAGGCTATGACGTACTTGTGATAGGGCTGTTGTTGTCGTTGCCTGGCGTCCACGACAGCTGAATACTTTTGTCGAGTTGATCTGTCAATTCTAAATCAAAGGGAGGATTTGGGACATCTGTAGATGGAATACACACACCACAGTTAACCATCCATCCTTATGATACTTCCTAATGATACTCTTCACAGGGGTGGGGGGGTCGGGGGGGGGGGATCATCTTAAAGACACAGCACACTTTTAATGGTCAATGAGCATGCATCTGAAATGAAACGGGAGACACTGAGGTTGCTGGGGACACACGAGCACACCCAAGACAAACCATCAATGAGTTCTGCTTGTTCCTTTTTCAAATGAAACCAAATCCCTTGTGACCAAAACCAGTGAGGTGGGCATGCGTGGTTCACCAGCACCCTCAATGTGTCTTCTCATAGAAATGAAGGAGCGCAGACAGAAGAAATAATACTGAAGCTTTATTTCTAATAAATGAGAGACAGAGAATAGCAAATGCCAGAAGACTGATACAGGCAAATATAATGTACTGCTCAAGAAGACTTGTTCTTTCTGAAATGCGTGCAGTTACAGATTTTGGAGCTCCTGGAGGACATTTCTATTTTTGGGCGAATTCTAAGACTGAGTATCCCTCAGCATGCACACCTCATGCAGATGCTCAGTACAACAGTCGGAAGGGCACATGGGGACATGGCGTGTTTATTCTCAGAGGACACTAGGGGACAGACACCTGTTGGGACAAAGGTGTCTCAGGAGCATGTCTGCCTCTTCTAATGGTATGTCTGAGATCCAGAGAGTTAACATTTCCCTCTGGGCTCTTTCCTGATCTTGCTCTTGGGAGTGATTGTGGCTCTTAGGGAACCAGAGCCCATATGAAAATATGGGCACTTCTTCCCTATCAGTAAAGAAAGTAAATGTCTACCAAGGAACAGCTCTTCTATACCCTGACTAATGATGCCATGTAAAATCCAGCTGAGTTTTACACCATAAAATTAATTTTAATTTTTGTACTTACAAGCTGAATAAAGATGAGGGTTCTTTAGTCAAAAAGAGTTCTGGAAATAATTTCTGATTTATTTTCCAGGCTCAGAAAAATCACACAACCTGGAAGTGCCCTCCTTTAGTGATTTATGTTTTTTTAATGCAATGAGTTGTTTATCTCTAATACAAAGGCCACATGTTCTAAACATCCATTGTTTTCCTATGTTAATTTATGGAAAATGGAATCCCCAAACATTTATGTTTCCAAGACAACTTTTAATAGACTAAAATTAAAAACTACTCTGTGGAATGATCTTTGAGATTTTTTTTTTTTTAAATTCTGGAAACCGTGGAGGACAGCTTTTGAAAAAGCACGATGCTATACAAGGAAATTATACCAAAGAGGACTTTTATCAATTGAAATGACTTTATAATAACACATGAAATATTTAGCAATGAGTGGTACTGCACTCAGTGAAACATTCCCGAGCTCTAATGAAGAAATGATTTATGGCGGTAAATGAGCAACAGAACCAAACGCTGGACAGAGCCCTCGTCCTTAAGGCAACACAATCAGTGATGTGTTAGAGAAAAGAGAGGAACTGAATTTTTTTTCTTTTTGCACATGTGAACGTGTTTGACAGAAAACAGAGAAAGAAGACTCATATTAGTTTACCGTAAGTAGGAGCTGGAGTTGGAGTAGGAGCTAGAAAGGACATTAATATAAAGGATTTTAATCAAAATTAGCCATGGAAAGATATAAGATAGCACAAGAAGACAAAGACCAACTGTGATTAAGATTCTAAAGCCAAGCTGTAAGCTTAGTTGTGGGACATGGCATTGATAAACATGCAGTAACAATGTGGTGGGGGTTGGGGGAATCCTTCAATCTTAAATCAAAGTACGCTATTTCTCCCGATTTTCTTATAAAAAATATCACTATTACACACAGCCATCATTTTATTCCAGCGCTGCTATAATAGTATATTGACACTGAAATGACTGCCTCAAAGGCATCTCACAAAGAAGAAAAATGCAGGTATTTAACTCCCCTACAGAACTGTGGAACTGTAACAAGCAAACATTTACTCTGGATGGTTTTCTTTCCGACCTAACACAAGGCAGCCAGGGTGCTGGGTGCATTTGCATTCTTACCAACAACACTCAGCACGGCACTGGCAGAAACGTTGTCGAGAGTTGTGTTGGCCACACACGTGTAGGTCCCACCATCGTCATCCCATACATCAGCCACCACCAAGTGGTCTTTGTCCACAGTGAACCTGTCAAGAGAACAGGTTCAGAGCAGCTGAAACGGACACCCGACCACAGGTGACGGATGCTTGCTTTCCTGGCATGAAAGAAACTCTGTGAATTCGAAACAGAGAGAGAGAGGACAAACATTTGTGGCTCGTTAGAGCAGAAATCCAAAAAATACGTCTCACTTCGATCATGATGAAAGCTGGAAGACAATCAGAATGGACTAGAAGCTTGGGTTAGAAGGGATGTCAAGTCATTTCAAGCATGCCCTTGGAAGGTTAGGATCTTCCCTGAAGACCAGAGGGGCACCCAGAGAGAGGGGTGGGGGAAGCTGTAGTCACCCTCACCAGTAGGCTTTCCTGTGGCTTCTGCTGCTAAGAAACATCTGAACAGCACTCATCCAGCTCCATTTCTAACGAAGTGTTTATTTTAAAATAATTTCTCACTGACTGTGGAAATTTTGTGTCATTTTGGCCGCATGCATAATCTCTCATGGGAGAAAGTGAATGCAAAGAATATTATCGACTTTATCACAAGCAACAGGATGATTTAGATCGGCAAGCACAACGGAGCGTTCTCTAGGGGTCACTAGCCGGCATGAGAAATTACTCAGTAGGTCAAAAATCCATGTAAATAGGATTCGTGCATGATTTTAATGCGGATGCGTAAATCATTCACTGTCTTTGCAGGGAATTTCCAAGTTAAAGCTTTAGCCACCTTCACTCCACGGTCATTTCTTCCTATTTCCTTTTCATCGTTACCAGCTCTGATGCTACAAATAAAACTGGCCAGCTGGGGGGCGCCTGGGTGGCTCAGTGGGTTAAGCATCTGCCTTCAGCTCAGGTCATGATCTCAGGGTCCACCTCCTGCCCCCTGCTCAGCGGGGAGCCTGCTTCTTCTTTACCCCTGCTGTTCCCTCTCTCTCTGCTTGTGCTCTCTCCTGTTCTACCTCAAGCAAATAAATAAAATCTTTAAAAAAAAAAAAAAAAGCCTGGCCAGTGGGAAGCATAGAATTAGATGGAAGTCCTCGGTATAGAGGCGGTCACATAGTCGTTTTTTGCTTTGTTTCGTTTCGTTTCGTTTTGCTTTGTTTAGGGGTGGTTAAGCTACACGCACTGCTTAGGCACACTTGCAAGCAAACCACAGGGGCCATTTCCACCAGCACAGGGCATTCCTTCCACTAGGGGGCGATGTTGGTAGCCTCCGTGACCGTTAAGCTTCCTGCAGTCCGCTCCATACCTATTCCCTCAAACTGAGGCTTCACCCAGCCTTTTCTTCCATTCCAAGTTCAAGGACCGTAACATGTCTACGCTCTTTTACATTTTTACCTGTCTCCCCCGCCCCCTTTCTACTGGCTTTAAGTGATCAAAAGAAAATTCCCTATTTGAATGAAAACCAGTGTCCTTTAAAATACCGACAAGGATTTAGGTGCACTCTGCTGATGAAAGCGATCGCATTTCTGCTTATTTGTAGAATGGTAATGAAAACATCTGTCGAGACTTCACTGTACAAGGTAGAAAACAATGGACGTCATCCAAGGCCTGAAAGGTTTTTTTCCCATCCTGAATTACATAGGAGCCCAGCACACAAAGACAGACAAACATTCTCAGGGTCTGATTTCAATAACTCGATACCTTTTTAGGTCCGCACATTTTGGGAGAAAATGCACTTTTTGGGGGGGTGGGGAGACCAGATTTCACAAACTTTAAAAACACCACCAAAAAGTCACTCTACAATAAACCTTTAGTTCTGAACAGCTCAAAGAGGCAGAGAGGAGAAAGGAAAGAAATGATCTTCAAGGGGAGCCTAGGTGGCTCAGTTGTTAAGCGTCTGCCTTTGGCTCAGGTCATGATCCCAAGGTCCTGGGATCGAGCCCTGCCCTGCTCAGCGGGAAGCCTGCTTCTCCCTCTCCCACTGCCCCCGCTTGTGTTCCCTCTCTCACTGTCTCTCTCTTTCTGTGTCAAATAAATAAAAATAAAATCTTTTTATTTTAAAATAAAATAAAATCTTAAAAAAAAAAAGTAATGGTCTTCAAATACCTTCCGTCATTGGGCAGCTCACCGCTGTCCTTCAGCCACGTGATGGTGGGGATTAAGGTGTGATCGTGTTTCACCTTGCATTCGAAGGACACCGTGCCCCCTCTTTGCACAACTGCATATTCCGGCTGTTTAATGATCCTTGTTGCATCTGAAATTTAGCTATTGTTATCCGTTGCCAAAGTTGAGGAATTTGCTCAAAGTCACGTCATACCTGAAAGAACTTGGTCACCTCCACCTTACCTTTGATTTCTAAGTGAACTTCATTCTTTGCCATTCCTAATTTATTCCTTGCAACACATGTGTACGTTCCCGTACTGTCCTTTTGGGCCACAGGAATTTCCAAAGTGCCATTTTCATGCAAAACATAAATATCTTCATGAAGGGCACTACCTTTAGCTCCCTTGAACCTTCATTACAGAAATTATCACAGTGGGAATAGAAAAAAAATCGTAATTTGAAGTCAGACATAGAATGCCACATTGGAGATCAACACACGGTCATTTGCGTCATGGTATCAAGTTCAGAGACATTAGAATCTGCAAAAGACCTCCTGGATTGGATGCCTGTAAGTCAGTGGGATCCATGGAAGGCAGGTGGTAAAACTGGGACATTTCATAAGAAATGGTGCTTGATGAAATAAGTCAATCAGAGAAAGAGAATTATCATATGATCTCTCTGATATGAGGAATTTGAGAGGCGGTGGGGGGGGGTCGTGGGGGATGGGGGGAGGATGAAACAAGATGGGACCAGGGAGGGAGACAAACCATAAGAGACTCTTAATCTCAGGAAGCAAACTGAGGGTTGCTGGGGGCTGGGGGTGGGGAGGTAGAGATAGGGTGGCTGGGTGATGGACACTGGGGAGGGTATGTGCTATGGTGAGTGCTGTGAAGTGTGTAAGACTGATGATTCACAGACCTGTATCCCTGAAGCAAATAACACATTATAAGTTAATTAAAAAATTCTTTTAAAAAATTAAAAAAAAAGAAATGGTGCTTGAAGCATTAGGATGACAATATGAAATACTTCAATTATAATTTTCTGTATCAAATTCATATTTAATACACACATTATTACCCATTCTATCTCCACATGGGTGATAAAACAGGCAAAAAGATCTTTACGGCCTTTTCCTTCCTCCTGGGACATATCTGTAAGTCCATCTTCAGGCCACAGTTCTAAAGCCAACTCGATATGACGATGTTTGATTTGAATTCTAAAGAGATTTTTGATTCACATGAATAGGAAAATATTCAGGGGAGAAAACCAACCACGCATGCACGTAAAGTATGCGTCCACTCAGCTTCCTGGTTACTGTCAGACAGAAGGGGGGATGGATAAAACCGTCAGGCAAAGTCGACCTAAGCTAAATTGGAACCCTGCGACCTCACTAGGACACCAGCTGCCCAACCGCCATGCTTCTCCTCTCTGCCCCTGAAGTGGAGACCTGGGGAGACTGTCCTTAATCCCACACCTGGTTTGGTTCTCACATGAGCCCGGCTCCATGTCTGGTCCCTGATGGACGACCAGTAACTGAATGTTCTAATTTTCCTTTGCCCCTTCCTTCCGAGCTGCTGCCCATCCTCCACTTGTGCCTCCCAGCTCAGGCTAAACTAAGCAAGCACCTCGATCCCGAGCGGGGACGGTTTGATGTGAGGACTGAAAAGACATGAGCGAGCTTGGCTGGATCCCTTAAATTTTCAAAAAACATACTTTCCCATGCCCTGCCCCCCCCACCCTGCCCCACAGCGTGCCTGACAAGGTGTGCGGCTACATACATTGTAGGTGGGGAAGTATTCAGCACTGAGCGAGGAGTCAATACATCTCTATGAGTGAATTTAATCATAATAGTACGATGGAAACTGCGCTGTCGGAGAAATTGAAGCCTTTAGCAAATGTAAGTATTAAAGACAAACAGAGCCGTGGCTTACCACTCAACGGTCGGCAGAGGGGACCCAAAGAAGGCACAGTCTAGTAAAGCAGGCCTGTCTGTGATGACCTGATAGAGTGTATTTGCAGATGTAAGGATTCGTGGTGGCTCAGCTAAAAAAAGTTGAAAAACGTGAAGTAAATGTTAAAATAAAACCAACATTTAGGCCCACCCGGTATTTTACTGCATTCAAAGGCTGTTCAAGTTCACATTCCACATAACCCATAGGTCTCTCCCCCTATGTTCTCTGTCAGGTATGACACCACCAGCGAACAGGCTGGAGAAATTCAAGTTTTCTCCTTCTGTCTCATATCCCACATCTCATTTTGCTCAGGCATGCAGTTTTAATGATTTATTTATCTAGATGTCCTACTACCCTGTGAGTCCCTTGCAGGCAGGGAAGGGACTTTTATTGTTTTCTTCCCAGAAACTAGGTCAGGGTCTGGCACAACAATAATGGTCGAGTACATCTTTGTTAAGTGATGGGCCCATCCTCACCCCGGGGTAAGAGTGGTGACAAGCACATAGCTGGCAGAAAACAGTAGTGTGTGGACACCTGAAACACAGAACCAGAAATCAGAACTGCCTCCCCAAACCCTAGCAACATGGGAAGTGTGCTCAGCTAGGCGTGGGAGTCACTGACCTCCATTTCCAGCATGAAGGAAACATGCCAAGGACTGGTTGGCTTCCTGACTATGATTTCATTTGAAAGGGAGTCTGCTACACTTAAAGAGTTGGCGTTTAATTTCCCGGCACCACAAAAACAAGTCTCACATACGATTTTAATACATTTGATGTTTTGGTGGTTTTGTCCAGTATGAGAAATGGAATGTTGACATAAACCAACCATTTCACACAGAGGACTTGAATAAACATTTCTCCAAAGACCTACAGATGGCCAAGAGACACAAGGAAGGGTGTGCATCAGTCATCATAAGGGAAATGCAAATCAAAACCACAACGAGATATCCCCTCACGCCTCTGATAATGGGCAAAATCAAGAAGACAAGAAACAACAGGTGTTGGCGAGGATGAAGAGGAAAAGGAACCCTCGTGCCCTGTTGGTGGGAATGTAAACTGGAGCAGCCACGGTGGAAAACAGCATGCAGTTTCCTCAAAAAATTAAAAATAGAAATATCATCTGACCCAATAATTCCACTATGGGGTATTTACCCATGGAAACAAAAACACTAACTCAAAGAGACAGATACACCCCTGTGTTTACTGCGGCATTGTTTACAATCGTGAAGACAGGGAAGTAACCTCAGTGTCCATAGATAGACAAATGATTAAGGAAGGCGTGTGTGTGTGTGTGTGTGTGTGTGTGTGTGTGTGTGTGATACTACACAGCCTTAAAAAGGATGTGACTGCTCCATTTCAGGTAACACGGATGAACTAGATAGTATTATGATAAGTGAAATTAGTCAGATGGTGAAAGACAAAACCCATGTGATTCCACTCATATCCCATAAGTGGAATTTAAAAAATAAATAAATAAACAAACAAAAAGCAGGATCGGAACTCTCAATAATGATGGTTACCAGAAGAGACCGGGTTCCGGAGTTGGGCAAATGGTTGAAGGGGAGTGGGAAAGACAGACCTCCAGGTATGGAATGGCTAAGTCCTGGGAATAAAGCAGGGCATCAGGAACACAGTCAATGACACTGGAATCGTGTCGTATCAGGACAGCCAGCAGTTACACTTGTGATGAAGACAAGTGTCACGTGTACACTTGTCAGATCACTAAGCTGTACACCTGACTAACGTAACATTGTGTGTCAACTACACTCAAAAAACCAAAACAAAACATCAAATGTTTCAGAAGATGCTTGAGTCTACCATAGTATTCTAAACGTATTACTAAGAATTAATAAATAGAGGCGCCTGGGTGGCTCAGTCTGTTAAGCCTCTGCCTTCGGCTCAGGTCATGGTCCCAGGGTCCTGGGATCGAGTCCCGCATCAGGCTCCCTGCTAGGCGGGACTCTCCCTCTCCCACTCCCCCTGCTTGTGTTCCCTCCCTTGCTGCGTCTCTCTCTGTCAAATAAATAAATAAAATCTTAAAAAAAAAGAATTAATAAATAAATTTACATATGTGACAAGGATAAAGGCCAAACGTTACAAGTAATGATTTATTTTTTTAAAAATCAGAATGACATTGTTGAACTTACCAGTTTTTTGGATGGAATAGCAGAGACATTCAGTTACTAATAGCAGATTAATGTTATTTTCCTTTTGAGGGCTTAACAATTAGTCTAACCCCATGTAGACCGAGCAGTCTATTTGATTACATCTACAGTGAACAATTGACCACTATAAAAGTTGCATTCTGAAAGAACAGGAAGGCCAGAGTACCATACCCTTTAGGGTAAGGTCTGTGTCTTACCCATCTTCTTACACCCCATGCAGCATCCAGGCCTCTGTGCGTCGCACACAGTAGAGGCTCACTACGTTTTTGCTGAGAACAGCAGCAGTCACTAACTGAACCTTCCATGTCTTTAATAAAGGGAGAGCTTACCCAGCACGTTTACAAATGCGTTCGCCAGTAAATATCCATATTCATTAGAGGCATTGCACTGGTACACCGCACTTGATCTTTCTTGAACATTTGAAAAGATAATGGTATCGCCGTCTATGTTTCTGCTGGGGTCATCGGGAGCAACTGTTTGGGTGCAAAAATATAAGGCATCTGTATATTCTTCTCTGTGTGAGGTCTACTCGCTAGTAAGTAGAACAGAAATACATGCCGATTCAGGTATATGTAGTAAGAAGGAGGAGACTGAGAACCCAGGCAGAAATCCCAGTTTTCCCTCCTCTGACTTTGGTTATCACTTCTCAGCACATTATGCTCGATATTCATTCAGTCCTAAGTGGACTGATTCTGTAAAACTGAGTATTATTTCGAGAGATCCAAGGGAAAGAGCACAAGGTAGGTGAAAACAGAAGTACACAATCGGGAAAGCGTTGCCTGTTCGCAACGAAACCGTGGTTCTTCACGAGGAGGTGAGTTAATTCTCAAGAGGAGACAGCAAACACTAGTCCAAAATAGAGAAACCCTTTAGCTCAACTGAACCTGTGTCCTTAATGAGCTTCTTTTTGAAATAAACAGATAAATAAATACAGATAAATAAATAAGTATATAAAGACATCTAGGGGGCCAATCATCAAATGTGGAACTATTCATTTTTCTGTATCAGAAATTCCTGAGGCTGAGGCGGAAACAAATCACGTGAAATTATGTATTTTTCAGCTAAATCTCTCAAGTACATAAAAAAAAAAAAAAAAAAAAGTCAGGACCAGGACTGATCCTTACCAAAGTGGAAAGGAACAGGGCGAGCAACGTGATATGTGAGAATTTAGTCCAGGTCATGCCCAGTGGCGTGGAAGTGCCGAGTTCCTGGAAATGAATTCCCGTCTGTGAGTGCTAAACCACAGGCTGTGACCTCACCTTGCTTTAAAAGCACACTCAGAGGGGCGAGAGGTATCTGCCTCAGCACGAGGCTCAAAATCAACACGCCGTAATTGCACCCTTTCCCTCAAATCTCCGCTTGCAACTTGACCCACTTAAGAAGGCTATGCTTCCATTCCAAACACCATACTTGTCTCTTTGATGCCAGGAAAGGGAGGTACATCTAAGACATAGTTATCACTGCATTCAGATGCCTTTATCCCTTGCAAATCTCAAATATTTGGCTCCTCTGTGGCTAATTAACTCCTTTGAAGACCTACCGGTAAACCAAACTATAGTCATTCAGCCTTGTCTTAGTAGTCCTGTTTTCTCTGGCTGCTGGAACAAGGTACAGTTAGTGCTTAAAACCGCATCAATTTACTGTCCCACAGTTCTGTATGTGGCTGTTCCACGCTCCAACTGAATGAATAGCTAATTTCTGACGTTGCCTTAGACACTCCAGTTAGTTCGTCTAGTGGTAGGGGAACACTGGGATCCTTTGGCTTGGCTTCCTAGCTCATCTCTGCTGTTTGGGACTCGAAACGTTTCAGAATGCCTCCAACCAGAAAACAAATACAAGTTCTGATTCCTTTAACAGGGTAAAGAATCCATCCGTGCATGACAGCGGAGGACAGAGATGTCTCACTGGCCTGGGAAGTGAACCACAGCTGCGGCAGATGGCCAGGTACCCCAAGAATATGGTATACCGGGGAGCCACCCACATTCCTTGTCCCAGACCTCAAGTCTAGTATCCCTGGGTCTGTCTGACTCACCCACTCTCAGTGATGTCCATCCAAGCAAGGCTGATGGAAAAGAGCAGGGTTTCCAGAATCTCTTTCTCTGTCTGTTACTCTCAGCAGTTTGGGACCCAGCACTTGGGCATTTGTTGCTGGGTCGCTTTGAAGGACTCTCGGTGCCCAGAATTCTGACTGCACCTCCGCAGATGCGCAAACAGTGGAGCGGGGGAGGGCAACGCCCCGACAGAGCGCGAGCCTGAGTCTCTCTGGGTGTGTGAGGACAGCTCCTCACATTCCGTGAGTACATGGAGCTCTTAGAAGTCGCAACCCATGCGCGGTGTAATGGGTAGAGAGCTCCGGGTTTATACGATGAGAAAGTTCTGGGGATCTACTCAACTGCAGTATGAATATATTTACACTGCTGAACTATATACTCAAAAATGAGTAAGATGGTACATTTTGTGTTACGTGTTTTTATATTTAACTACAATAAAAATACATCACCATGAACTTCAAGGCCAGCTCTACGAATGAGGCCAGTAGGACAATCTTCCCTCAGTGGGAGTCGTGAATCACAACATACACCATCCTAAGGAGCTTTTATGTAGCCCACCCACGCATTTTTCCTTGCCATCAACTCTTTTTAATGTTATTCGTTACCTAAAGGGCATCAGACTGTGTCTGTCTTATCGCTGCTTAATGGGGCAATCTTCAAATATTTATTTTTTGGCAAGGTGTTTCGGAAAAAAATAAACCCTTTAGGTAAGAATAGTGAATAAGCTAATATTTCTCCATGGGGGCTGGGGCTACATTTTCCTTAAGCGCTTTCACTAAAGAAACACAAACAAACCCAGGCACCCACAGTGACATATGGCAGCTCAGCTGGGAGTGGACAAAGACGAAAATTACTAGTGCAGAGCTACTGGAAGTCCCTCGATTCTGTGTGCTGGCTGCTGGGAAGGAGTGACTGGCCAGCAACCCAGCCCCAGGTATCCAAAGGAATAATGATTGCTTCTGGGAATAGCAATTCTGTTTGCTGCAAATGAACAACAGAGAAAGAAATCTGAGCATGGAGTCATCACATCCAATTTAAAGCTCCAAAGGTAAGGTTCAGAACTGGGGCGAGAGCCTTCCAGCAAGACATTCTTCTATTCTAACTGTCCTGACACACCTGGCCAGACCTGGAAAGGCTTCCAACATTCAGATAATGAGAGTAATAATGAATGCCACTTAGTTTGTATAGAGCATGAAGCATTTTAAAAAATTTTTGTATTTATCACATCATTTTATTTCCAAAGGACTTTGTGCAATGGATTTGGGGGTCAGGGTGCAATGGAGTAACTGGAAAATGTTGCTGTGCAGAGAAGAGAAGCCAGAGACTGGAGCACACAGTGGTACAACATGAGAAGAACGCTCAGATTTTCTGAGACAGTCCATTTTATAAACATCTCCTTGAAATCTGGACGTTTGGCCGTGGGGTAGAACACATCTCTGGGTGCAGAGATGAATCTCCTTTGTCTACTTATTCCATCCCTCATAGGGGATGCCCATGGAGCTGCCTTGGTGGAATTTTGGGAATGTTCTGGACCATGCCGCCATCCCCCCGGCTGCAGACACGTGGCTGTTCTCTGACCCTCACCTCAGCAGCTGCCCCTCAAGGTTTCTGCAGCTTCTTAGGGAAAGGTGTGGTGTCCATACAGCTGGGGCTCCCAGCTAACTTCTGGGGTCTACATGAGGCCCCCGGAAGGTTAGGAACCCTCGCCATGCCAATTCCATCCACCGCATCCTGAGGCGACTGTGCCGTCCCTCGCCTAGCCTGCCTCTCCGCCTCCCCCAGCCCCAGTGCTCCATCACCGCTGGAGGCATCTGTGGGGTCCACGGCTCAACAAGCCACAGAGGAAAAACAAGCCCATCTCCTGTGTCTAGAGTGGTCCCCAAACCTCAAAGGCAATTCGGTTTCGGGGTCTCCAGATTCACAGGCTAATTATCAAACAGGATGGAAAGGGAAGAGGCACAGAGCTCTTCAAACTCCTACTGATTTTTTGACTGCTTTCTTCCACATTTCCTCCTTAGGTTTGAGCGGGGGAGGTCAATATGAGGTGGAGGCGGGGAGGCTTCACTTTGAACTTAGCTAATTAAGGCTCAGCAGAGTCTGTAGATAGATCAGCTGCTGGGGGTAGGGGTGGGGCACAGGACCCGTCCTTAGGGTCTGTAGCCCCAGGGTCTGCAGGACCACTGTGCAGAGAGCTCTGAGGGTCCCCACCAGCTGCCAAAGCCCATCAACTGTGAGCAATGAGATCCCCCCACACAAACCCACGAACTCTGAGCCAGGCCAGCAGATGCGGAGGAAGCCACCACTCGCAGACACTGCACATCACCTTGGTGTATGAACGAATCTGGAACCCGATTTGGGAGATTTTGTTCTAGCTTTCTGCTCAGGACCTAATCAGATGATTTGGGGTTATGGTGGAAGGACCTAACTTGTATCCCAGGACCGCTATCCTGCGCACCCCCTCTCCCAGGCAGGCCTTTCCCAGTTGGTTCCGAACCCAGATATTTCATTTAAAAGGGAATGTCTGTGAGTGCACTTCAGAGCCCTTCACACAGCTGGAGCAACAAGGCTCTCTGGGAGGTACCGCCCGTGCCTGGTTTGGTTGGATCACAAGCCGAGTAGATCAAGATGGAAGATCAGCTTCATTATCTCATCTCCGAGTCTACTTGTGTCATTGACCCAACTTGGTCTCCATTTCCCCTACTTCGGACTGGACTGAGTTCTGGCCATGGAGCCCCAGGGGTTTATCTTTTTCAACCTTCCCTGGCGCCCGGGGTTTTCCCCACTTGGGGGTGAGATGGGCGGCCCCTCCCACTTGTCAGTCCCATGGAGGCCAGATCTCAGGTGCACGGTTAACCCTCTCTAAAGGGCCCAGACCCTTTCCTGCCATTCTGAATGCGTTCCTGGGAAAATCAGACAGTGCACCATATAACTGCTTTAGGTCTGGGCCGTATCCTCTTTTCTCTGTTTCCATTCACGGCAACAGCTTCCCAATGCACAACCACTGGGTACTCTCTGCACTTCTTCCTGACCTCAATCATGGTTAAAATTGGGAGCACGATTACCCAAGCCCCAATTGCTGGCCTCTTTGCAATCTGTATTCTCCCAGGAACGTAATTTCCTTTTATAGTAGACACAGGCCGCCTGTTTTAGAGTATCTGATGACTATTGTACAGTGTGACACAAACAAACTCTTAATAAAATTCATGGGATGGGGAGCTCTTCCTTGGTCTAGACCTGCCATTGTGAGACCCGGATGGTGAGACACAGGGACCGAGCCACTGAAATCTGCCAGCGGTTCTCAGATCCATTTTAAGGTGAAGACTATTTCAGAAAAGTCAGATTAAAGGAGCTTTCACTTATGTAGAATCAAATCCATTTTTGATTCTGGCTTAGAGGCAACGAGGAGCAAAGCTGCTCTACTTTGTCAACCTGAAGGCTGTCTATATTGTGAGTCAAGAATCCCTTCGCTAATTATTATGTTACCGGCTGGAGGGTGAGCCTGAGTCTAGATTTTAAACAAAAGCCAATTTTCTCTCTCTGGGTTTAAGAGAAGGTGTGAACTCCAAGAAGGAGAAAATGGGCAGAGTCTCCTGCAACCAGCAGCAGGTGGAGGGTGAGGTGGGGGAAAGGAGAGCTGGTGGGTTCTCTCTCTTAGGAACCTGGAAACAAGGAGGGGCACTATCTGGTTTTAAGTTTGTTTTGCTTTGCCATAATCCTCAAGCCCTCTACTGCCCTCAAGCCTTTAACCAGGTTTTGTAAAGCTGGGCTTTGCTGTGATTGGGAAGATTAATGGATGGGCCTGTGGCCACACTTCGGGGGCTGTTCTGGGCAGCGTGGTGGCAGACTGGAGAAGCTGGCTGGGAGACAGAGAGCTGTGAGTGGTCCAGGGAAGGTGGCCAAAGAGGTGGCCCACAGCAGCCGGGCCTGGGTCAGTACTGTTCAAGGTGAGCTTGGCATACCTGGGGAGGGAAAACTAATCAAAGACCAAGGGTCCTGCAATACAATCATGATCAGAGGCTACCTTCTTCTGTGGACATTAAATGGGATGGTGAGGGTGCCAGGGTGGCTCAGTGGGTTAAGCATCTGCCTTCGGCTCAGGTCATGATCCCAGGGTCCTCCAATCGAGCCCTGCATAGGGCTTTCTGCTCAGCGGGGAGCCTGCTTCTCCCTCTCCCTCTGCCTGCCTCTCTGCCTACTTGTGCTTTCTATCTCTCTGTCAAATAAATAAATAAAATCTTAAAAAAAAAAAAAAAGGGATGGTGACCTCTGAAGACCAGAGAACTTGGGGACATCTGGGCTGTGCTTAGGAATTAAATCTCTTTAAATGACCACAGCTGTGTCTCTTATTCCAGTCACAGCCACTGGCTCTATCCCTAGCCTCCGCAGCATGTCTCCTCCGACTCCTGTGACATTTCCACAAAACACTTGACATTTGGAACAGAGAAGATCTGAACTCTCCAGGAATGTTTCTTTCTGACCCTGTCATTTTTCCTAGGATCCATGTAAAAAGACTGGAAATATTGCCAAGTCCTAATCAACACATACCATCACGTTTAAGGGCACAAACTATTCTGTCATCAGGAATATCGAGAGGTAATAAAACAAACATCTGAAGGTAATTCGGCACCTCTTTTTAGCTCACACATGGCTTCCTTCCTCACCACCAGTGATTTTATTCCATTTGTTCCCTGTTGAGACGTAGCTATGCTTGGAAAATAGGTTGCAACCACAGAGCCTGTCAAGGCAACTTACTTTCTATTGGGACTCCATTCGATAACCAGCTAATTCTGGGCTTGGGGTTGCCATTAGCTCTGCAGATCAGTCTCCCGTCCTCTCCTGGGGAGAGCACAAGGTTCTGAGGTGCCATGATCCAGTACGGAGCCGCTTTATGAAAGAAAGGAAGAAAAAAAACCCCACAAACATTTGAATCATACAAGCGTTCTAGCAAATTTAGTATACTGAACTGTTTTAATATCAAAATAAATATTTAGCAAAACATATGTTAGCCTGGTTTTGTAAAGAGTGAATAGTATTGTAAGAGATGCCTCAAAGAACACTTCAGACTTTCAAAAGACTGTTTCTAGAGGCTTTTGATACAAAGACCATCTTGTTTCACAGTAAATTAATCAGACGTTAAAAAGGTAACAGATTTCACTAAGGTTGTAGAGTGAGTTATAGTGCACATAAGGCTAAGGAACATGAATTTAAATTCTGAGTCCTGTAGGATACACATAATTATAAAACTGGGAAGGAAGTTAAGAAACTTCGCACTTTTGAGAAGTTGCAAAGTTAGGATGGAGAATTCCCATGAGTCCCTCAGCCAGCTCTCTCCGGTGTTCCCTTACATAACCATGGTACAGTTATCAACACAAGAAATTAACAGTGGTACAATACGATTAGCTAAACTACATCTTTTTCTACACATGCCTTCTTTCTGTCCCAGGACCATCTCCTGGCTACCACATTGTCTTTACTTGGTCTTTCCTCATCTTTCATAACCTTGACACATTTAAAGAATACTGATCCGTTATTTTGTAGAATGTCTTTCAACTTGGGTTTGTCTGGTGTTTTCTCATGATTACACTGAGGTTTTGGGTGATGGATCCCTCTTACTGCATCATTCTGGGGGATAAATGATACCAACATGACTTACGACTGCTTATGCTAACCTTGAACACATGGTAAGGTGATATCTGCCAGGTTTCTCTGTAAAGTTGCTATTTACCTGCTTTCCATAGTCTATCCCCTAGAAGTGAGTCACTAAGTCCAGCCCACACTCAAGGGTAAGGAAATTCAGCTCCCTCTCCTTCCCAGAGGAAAGGTGAAGACTTTGTGAAAATATGTTAAACCTGCTTCCATAATTAATTTTAGGGGCTGTGTATGTGTGTACAAGAAGAAGTACTTTGAGGCTAAGGGGATCCTCTGTTTCTCCTCAAACCTTCATCTATCTTTCCTCACTGGCTCTTGCCTGCAGGAGTTATAACTGGGATGTTCATGGTGATTTCTGGTTTCCCTCCTTCTTCTTACAATTATTAATTGGAATTCTATGAGGAAGGTTTGGGGGAGAGAATTTTTGACCTGATTTAGATGTGTTCTAAAGAGCAATGAGAAAAGATCCAAGGGGTCAGGACTGTTGATACAAATTTACATTTGTTATGAATTGAAGTTTAAATCAAAGGCATATTTAATTGAAGATTTACGACTTCTCATGAAGGCAAGAGCCATGCATTTGAAACAATTGTATACCTTTAACTGTGACAGAAATGGTATGATAGATAGCTCCCAGTGGGTTTTTGGCTATACACTGGTAATTTCCAGAGTCTGCTTCTGAAACCTGAATGATCTGCAGAGTTTTCTTGAAGTTCTTATAAAATGTCCGGTTGATGGGCAGGGTTCCATCTTCTTTTATCCAGTAAATAATTGGGGTAGGCCTGATAAGATAAATAAATGATATTATTAAAAAAAGAAGTTCACCTCGCTGCTTTTGAGGGTGAATCTTCATGCAAGTTGGTAACTTCTTTGTCTAAGATCCTGAGGAACAGAAAGACATTGTAACTAGTCTCACACTTCTATAAATAATGCTCAGACCCCTGTATTGAAGTCTGTGAACCAGCACCGTCACAAAGGCAGCGCCGTGTTAATGCATGGCACACCGTGACCTTGGACTTCCCTGACACAATGAGTAGGCTAGCCTAGGTGACTTTGCTGAAAGGACCTCATTATTATCTTCAAAGTTCTGATCAGTGAGGCACACCTAGAAAATTTTACATAAACGAATATGTCAATCAAAAGGCTTACTATGAAATTAATGATACTGAGTTTTTCTTTTAAATCAGCTAGAATTAAAAATGCAGAGAAAGTGCTGATATACGAATTTGTGCCCATGAACTTTTGCACACATTTCCCTAACAAATGGAAGAATTTTGATCTAGTGACTTTAGAAGATTTTCATGAGAGTAAAATAAAACTTCACTGGACACAAATATTTATTAAGCACTGAACTCTGGGCCAAGCACTGAGTTGTATGTTGAGAAGACAAAGACAAAAAAAAAACCATATGGCCTAAGAACCTCAGGAAGATCACAATATTTGTCCTTAGAAATTCAAATGGGGTTAATTGGTTGATTGTAGAATTGCTTCTGGTTTGTGTAGCTGAATAGAAATAATTGAACATATTTCTTTGATGAAATACCTTCTAAAATGAAACCTGCTGGGAATATAAAAAGAGGTAGAAAATGTAAAATCATTTTCAAAAATGGAAGATACGAGACCAATGTGTATCTGATACCATATTCTGGTGTTTTCTTAAGTCAGATAGTCTGCACCTCACCTGATCTGAAGGTGAGTGGATCACGGGGAGAGAGGCATGAGGTCAAACTAAGTCATGGATTGTTCTGGAAGCCTGCTTACTTCTCCACTGAGTAGTTATTAAGAATTAGAAATATTATGATTCTGTGAGTCCTATAGCTACTGGTTTGTAAATGATAGACTCCTCAATCTTAGTTTTACACCATCCCGTGGTTTTAAAAATTCTTTTGGAAGTTTAATGCAGTTTCCAAATACCAACCATATTTTAATTTTTACCTAAGAGACCCTTCATGGGAAGGGGAATCATAAAATTGTGAGAATGGGTATCTCTGCTCTCCAAAGGTTGGAGGTTAGTAGATTAAACCACTTTCTAACACCATGATGTATGAAAATTACAAGGGGTTGGGGGTTTGCTTTTAATTCTAATGGGAAAGATATATACTTAATATATCTTTAAAGGGGAATTTTGCTAGTTTCAGTCACTTGAACTGAGTAGCGTGTTCTGTGATTTCCGGACGGGACCAGCAGAGGCCTCCACGTGTCTCCTGCAGTAAAGCCATTCCTAGAAGTCAATTCTGGGAAGGAACTCAAAAACTGTTGCATTGCCAGGTCAAGGACAGTGCAGATCAGAACATGGGATCATAACAATGTTTCTGAGATTCCACGCAATGTTTCCAGCAAATGTGCCCACATCAACAGTACTTCCTCGGTGCCAGGGCTAAGAAGGGACGATGTAGAAACTCTCTTCTGACGGGCACCTAATATAACAGTTGTCCTTGTATCTAAGCTATGCACAGATGTCATCTGCAAAGAAGCTAGGCTTGTGACCTGCCTAGAGGAAGGAGTGGAAGGGACAGGGTGTTCGTTCTGAGGCTAGACCGTAAGAGGCCTAAGAGGCGATGTGTGTACTTTTGCTGTTAGGAGAATAAGCCGGGGCTAGACGGCTAGAGGGACAGGAGTCACTCAAGGCCAAGAGCTGCTGAGAAGACCCTCAGAGCCATGAACCCAGAGTGGAGCTTCCGAGCAGAGGCATGAGCAGGCTCGCCCTAAAACGTCCCACTCTAGCCTATTACAGCAACTGCCCTGCGACCTGTGGGTGAATGATTAACAATAAATAGCTATTGTTTTTAACCTGCTAAGTTTTGAGGTTGTTTGTTACATAACAGTAGTGAAATAAGACACCCTAATTGTAACCATAGCAACCACAAGGGGATTCCTGATACTTATTTCAAGAGGAAAGCTATTATATTAAGAGAATATTTCAATAATATGAGATACACATGGCTTATTTTTGAAAACAATTATCAAATTTTTCTTAATGCTTGTTGGAATTAGTATAAGACAATGACTGTTGCTATGACATCGATGCCTCTCTATGGACCCACTAGGTTTTTGTAAGAAATGCTACAGAAATGCACACTAAGACAGAAAGCACAGGGGTGCCTGGATGGCTCAGTTGTTTAAGGGTTTGCCTTCAGACTCGGGGTCCTGGGATTGGGATCAAGCCCCCAGTTGGCCTCCCTGCTCAGCAGGGAGTCTGCTTCTCCCTCTCCCCTCCCCCATCTACCCCTCCCCTCCCTGCCCTCCCGTCCCCTGCCCACAGGCTCGTGCTCTCTTCTGCTGCTCCCTGCATCTCAAATTAATTAATTAATTAATAATTAAATAAAATCTTTTTAAAAAAAGACAGAAAGTGGGAACTCACAGTCCCTCTGCAATGCATTCCAGCGAAAGGACATTCCCTCTTAATTCTTCCTTGTGACTGGCATTGCCTTCTGGAGTTAAAAAGGTTGGTGGCCTCTCTCTATTTGATTTTGCTGCAAACAATAAAATCACATGGATTAAAAGTTATGCATATGTATTTCTCAAAACACGGTTCACTGCCTAAAAATCTAATCCCTTTTCAAAACCACTAAACACTGAAATTAAACTGCACATCCACACTCTCTGCCTTATAAACATTGCTCACTCAGCTGGGAACAGAAACGATATTGGTTACATAACCATTAACACGAAGGACTATTTCACTCTTGTACATTCCCTTAATATGGGTTAGGTTTTTATGAATTCTTGGTGCATTGGCAAATTTTCAAAATGTAGACATAGAGAGGAAAGTCACATTATCAAACTATCCATCCCTTACAATTAGTGCTCGGGTCAAAGAGAAAATTAACTATATTGCGGAAGATGTTAGATTTTTCTGGAAGCTGTGACTATGGAAGGGAGTAGTTTGGTTTACACTAGGGACAACATCATAGCCCATTTCATTTACTAATCATGGACTTAAATCTGTGGTGGATGTCTAAGTATCAAGACCCCCAAACTGCAAGGTTTATGGAAAACAAAACAAACAAAACTAGCAAGTTACTGACAGAAGTCTGGCAAATTGTGTGTCATACATTAAGAATAATGAATGGTAAAGAAATTGAACTTGGTTTCCTCGATGAAAAAATAAAGAGGCCTCAAGTCGGAGATCTCAGGGAGGCCCACAAAGGCCATCTTCGGTTTCACGGAAACTTCATTTAAAAGTGGCCTTGTCTTCTAATGGCCTCTCAGAAAACTGTGAAGTAAGAATATACCATCTTAAGGTTCTATCACCCTTTAGAGTTTTCAACACTTAAATGCATCATCTCTTTGATGCTCACCAAAAGTGAGTGAAAAGGTAATATGTGAATTGTTCTCATTCCTCAGAAGGAACAAAACTGGATACCAGGAAAGGTTTTACTTGAGAGAAATGAGAATTTTCTTAAGACTTTAGAAATTGTGGAGGAAACCTTACCTTCCTGAAATCACTTTGGGAATGGTTTTGAGACCCATCATTTTTAGGATATATTAAAATAAAATAACAAGGCAGAAGTTGTGGTTTGCCTACTCTGATCATTGATGGTACCTTAATGTTTTTTTACTTTATATCTCAAGGGTAAAAAAGTAATACCTCAGAAATTCTCCCTTAGAGATCATTAAGAGGACCCCCATACCAGAAACCACAATTTTCACTAATAGACTCTAGACCTTACAGTCACATTTCCCTTAAGGAAATCGAATTCTCTTTTTATAAGAATGAAGTTAAATGCTCTATATTTAAAAAGGTTATTTCCACTGAAGAGAGTGACTTGGTTTTGAACAAAACTACGAGAAATGCTATTACTAATTATATGACACTGATAATGTCATGCGAGAACAGATGGGAAATGTGATGATTTACTATCAAAATCCACTTGATGTTAGTTGCTAACGGTTACTAAGACTGACGAGTTAGTATTCTAGCGAATTAATGCCCCCTTTTTTGGTTAATGAGAAAAGTTTGTGAACAAGACAAAAAAAATGAAAAATATAATTCTAAACATACATGGAAGATCCCCGCCCCCCCGATCAGGAAATGGTGCTTCACATGAAAACAGTGATAATAATTTTTATTATTATACATACAACGTGCAGCACGTTTTAGTGACATGACATAAGCGTGTAGCTAAGTTTCCTAGAAAACACACATTGTTCTAGCGGTATTAAACACAGAACTAGGACTCTCATGGAGAAACTGGGTGTAATAGCTATGGAGGTGGAGTTAGTGAGCCGATTCTACGATGAGGGAGAGGAGTACCAGTTGCAGTCACCAGAACTCACCACTATAAAACTCAGAGTCATTCAAATTAGCAGCTATGGTGTCATTCAGTTCATCCACTGAAATAAACAGAATATGATGAAGAATGCAAAAAGCAGGGGAGCAGGTACTACAAAAAAGTCTCGGGCAACAAAAGTAAACGTATACACCCATGCTGACCGGGTGCCATCCCTACCAAGGAAACACAGGCTTTTACATCGTTCACGACTCACTAATTGATTACGTCCCTCAGCCACCCCAGCCAGTAATACAGGGACACGGAACTGAAGCTGCGGGACTGCTAAGCCCAGGCACGCTGGGGCAGAACGCATGCGCAGATGCTCCGGGACCAAGGAGACTCCGGAAGTTATTGTGGAAACAGCAACGGTGATATCAGCAAAGAACGTACAATACAGTATCTGGGTTACGTGTGCTTTTATCTGCCAACACGTCAGTAGCTAGTCACGGGTACTTTCCTGATCAATGAACCCGTGTAGTTCAACGTCAGTGGTGTTTACTAGTTAATATATTTTAGGCACACTTGGAAACGTCATTGAAAGAGAGAGTCAGGAGGCCGAGCCCTTACCTGAAATCACCTTCACGGAAATAGGTTGCTTCTGCTGTATGGTTTGAGTGTGATTAAATCTGGCATAACAGATATAGTCCTCGCGGGTGTCCTCTGGGAGAACATTGGAGAAGTAAAGGTCTCCGTTCAGACCCTGAGAAACCCTCTCACTTTGTGGAAGTCTCTGAAAGGCTGGAGAAAGGCAGAGAGATATCCAGATGATTCCATCCCAAAGCTCTCCCAATAACTACTCATAGTTTGGTGAACTTTCCTGGAATTTTTTTTCCCCTATAAAGCTCTTCAAGTAAAAGCAAGTCATTGCAGAAACAACAGCAGAACACAGGAAAAGTCCAACTGTGCCTGCCAGAGCCCAATTACTCTGGAGTGGGAGCAAAGGGGAGACTAGAATCATACAGTCAAGTGTTGTATTAAGCAAGTGTAGACCAAAAAAAAAAAAAAAAAAGGCTTTACAAATGAGTTTGCAGGACTTTTCCTAATATTTAATATTAACTGTTAAACACGTGTACATACGTATCTTAGAAAATGCATTTAAAAAGCTTGTAAGGATGTTAAGTTGGCTTGCCTCCACATGCTCGGTCAGGAAAATAATGTACATTTATTTAATGAATACAAAGAGTTAAAGATAAGCATTCATTTATTCTCTTCTGATTCCCATGTTGTATTTTATTATTGATCGGTGTTGGTAAGTCAAGTTAAAGAAATGAGACTTTAAGAGGGTGGTAGCATTTTGCCCCCTGAGTTCTTTGCCTTACACTTGGGAAAAAAATGTACACAGGCAGGAAGAACTCGATAATGTCACCTTGCAAGAAGAAGGCTATACAAATCTGAAATTTCTTCTGTATTCCCGATGCAATTTCATTTGAAAGGTCCAGATGCTTTGCCAACAGCCTAAAATGTAGGTTCATGACATAGCCCAGAAGTGCAACATGGAAAACAAAGTCACATACTCAGGTGATTCTGAAACTTTACATGTATTCGACTATTTATTAAGTGAAAAGGTCATCGTTCCTGAGTAAGAACCAAGGACCGAACACAGCCTCGTTTGGGTAGTGACATTTGGATACACTTCCCATGTATATCTGACTCATTATATTTTCTTTCAAAATCTGTTTGAAAGCTGTTATGCATTCACAGGAAAATATGTCTGCTCATTGATTCATTTATATATTTATTTTCATTTCTTTGTGATACTTTCTCTGAATATTTTTCCATACAAGAGTTACAATGGAAATGAAATATTCCAGCTAAATTTTCTCTTAGAAATGTGAACAGTCTATGAATTCAGGGGAAATCATGTTACTGAGAATAGACTGTGTTCCCTACAAATATTTTGCATTCATCCCCACCATTCCACCTAAAAGACTCTTGTCAAGATCAACAGTGATCCCGATGTTGCCAAATTGAATAGTTGTTTTCGGTCGGATCAGAAGTTATCTGATCTTTTGAAACAGTTGATCAAAATTTCTGGGGGCACCTGGGTGGCTCAGTGGGTTAAAGCCTCTGCCTTCGGCTCAGGTCATGATCCCAGGGCCCTGGGATTGAGTCCCGCATCGGGCTTTCTGCTCAGTGGGGAGCCTGTCCCCCCACCTCTCTGCCTGCCTCTCTGCCTACTTGTGATCTCTGTCTGTCAAATAAATAAAAATAAAATCTTAAAAAAAAAAAAAAGTTCTGTCTTCTGGACACTTGCCCCAGGGACACTGCTCTGTCTCTGTCTTCCTCCCTCAGGGATGGCTCCTTCTTTTCTGCTTTGCTGGACTCTCCCTAAGTCCCTCTGGGGGGCTCCTGGTCTCCACACCACCACAGGCTTTGACCTCCCCCCACCCCCAGTGCTCTCACCCAGCCCTGGCTCTAGGAGCACCTCTGCACTAGCATGCCTGCTTTGCTGACCAGAGCCTGAACTCCGCCTTACAACTCCTTTTGGGATTCTCCTCATGCCTGTTCTATAGGCCTCTCACCTCCACGACCCTCGTTTCTTGGTCCCCAAGCAGAACCCCATGTCACCTCTAAGGGAGCATGCTAACCTATTAGCACAGTTTCTGGAGGGGAGGAAAGGCAGCACCACACAGTTCCCTTAAGGACAGGGCTGGGGTAGACAGATGTGAGATGGCCTAATGGATGACTTCATTCTCTGTGCCTCGGTTTCCTCATCTAAAATGTGGAAAGATGACAAGATGCTCGACATCGCTAGAGAAATGCAAATGGAAACCACAGGTTTAACTAAACGAACAAAAGAGGACAGACATGGATACAGGAAACCACTGGTTATCAGAATTGAGGAGGCATTGGGGGATGGGCGAAATAGGTGAAGGGGAATAAGAAGTACAAACTTCCAGTAATAAAATGAGTAAGTCACAGGATGTACTGTACAGCACAGGGGATAAGTCATATTATAATAACTCTGTATAGGGACAGGTGGTAACTAGACTTGTCGTGGGGAGCATTTCGTGATGTGTAAAAGTATGAAATCACTATGATGTACACCTGCAGCCAACAGGACATTGTTGATTACATTTCGTATAAAAAAATATAAAAAATAAAAAGTAGAACGAATAATCAGATATGCCCCGCAGGGTTGTTGTCAGAAATTGATGAGATAACCCCATGTAAAGTTCTCAGCAAAGGGACTGGCACTGAATAGATGCTCAGGAAGTATTAGCGGTTGTTGGAGATTAAAAAAGAAAAACAAACCTAAATGACAAAATGTAACACATCCCAAATAGCCTGATTCCCTGCCGTCCCTGCCTGCAGGCTTCTGCTGTTTCAGGAAATGGTGATTCCATGTCACCAGCGGCTCCCTGTTCGACTCTGGAGTTATCTTTGGTAGCTCCCTCTCACACCCCCAGCCCGATCCCAATAAATCCTGGAGGCTCTATGTCCAAAATATATCCAGAAGCTGACCATTTGTTCCCACCTGACAACAGCCACGACCCGAGTCCCTGTCACCGTCAGCTCCTGCCTGGATTTCAGCAGGGTCCCGCCTGGCCGGTGTCCCTACCCTGCCTTTGTCCCCTCTGCCACCCGCACAGGAACTGAAGGAAGGCTATTGCTAGCTGGTTAGGTTCAGGTACAGTCCCTGCTTCCGTGTCTCCCCGCTTCATTCAGAGCAAAATCCAAAGACCTCTGTACTGAGCCCTGGACTTTTCCGACATCATCTGTGTCCCTCTCACTGGGCTCCCGGCGGTGTGGCCACGCTACCTGCTGGGGCTTTTCCAGGCACCAGGATGCTCCTGCCTCAGGGGCCTGTCTGTTTCCCTTCTACCGGGACATTTAGGGGCCTGCCTTGCTCTCTCATTCCTCTAAGTCTCTGTTAAAATGCTGCTTATTTTTCTTTCTTTTTAAAAATATTTTATTTATTTGGGAGAGAGAACACAAGAGGGGGAATGAGGGGCAGAAGAAGAAGCAGACTCCCTGCTGAGTAGGGAGCACAATGCAGGGCTCGATCCCAGGATGCTGGGATCATGACCTGAACCGAAGGCGGACGCTTCACCAGTTGAGCCACTCAGGTGTCCCTGCTTATTTTTCTTCATAGCACTTGTTGCCAGCTGACACCCACTTTACAAATGCACTGATTTCTGCTTCCGTCTCCAGCCCCCCATCTATTCTCACTACATAGGATATGAGCTCGGTGGAAGCAGGAAATCTGGTCTCTTTAGGTGCCTGGTATGTAGTAGGTGCTCAAGAAAATCATGTTGCTTATTTCATGACACATTTATTTCAATGAGCATTTCTTTCCTTTGAGCATCTCTAAAACTTATTTCAAACATTTTATGAATCATGGGAGGTAACATAGAATCTTATAATCATAAGAATCATAAGAATCTTGAAGTAATCTTAAGTATCTTGAAGACAGAAAGTTCATATTTTTAAAACTTACAATTATCCATCCAGAATATTATAGGTGGTGGTAATCCAAGTGGGGGTCTGCAAGGAAGGATCAGAGACTGGCCATTTCGAAGTGTTATTGGCTCAAGTTTTTCTTTGGTCCACAATGGTGACCCTATGATATAAAATAATAACTTCTAAGTTATTTCTGCATTGGACAATAAAAATAGCACAGAAAGGAAGACAAGATAAACTTTGGGGGCGAAGAGTAACTCTGAGTTCATATACGTTAAGATAACAAGAAAATACTTTTAAAATCCAAGGTTAAAGGTAAAAAAAGTGATGATTTTCATTCACTGCCATTAATAGTATAAATGCTGACTCAGCAATTCCATGTCTAAAAAAAACCACCTGTATTATTAAATACATTGTTAAGAAGATATGTAATTTCAACTACAAGTGTGTTCTTCATGAAAGAATGAAAAGCACTAGGTGTAAAAAAGTTTGTTTAAACAAATAATTGTACACCCACACTTGAGAGTGTATACACTATTATATATTAAGAAGCATATACTTATGCAGAAGATTGATATGAGAATATAGATGCTATGTAGATAAAGTCAGAAAAGGTTATAAACTAGTACTTCAGAATGAGCTCTGCTGGCACACATACGTGCCTATCTGCCTAGAGAAGGTGGAAAGATCGGTGGTTACTTGATCAAGTGGAAAGAGTCATGAGTACATTTTTCAATTTCTTTTTTGTTATTTGTAATTTTTTCCCAAGAATGAACACAGGTAAGAACGAGTTTTTGAAAGGACCAGAACTGCAAATGGCTACTGTTCTTTAAATACAAGCTCTTTAAATATAAGCTGTTGAGAGAACGGGGGTAGTGACTTCTGCAAAAAAAGCCACAGAGCTGCAGGTAGTGAGGTCTCTGTATTTCCAGGGAAACAAAAATGTTAATTACCCACTATCCATTTCATACTGAATTTATTTCCGTCAGGCTATCGGAAATTTGCTCATATGTGAGATACATGAGAAATTAATCATTTGATCAATTCGGGGAAGATGTGTTTTTCTTACTCCCAGTGTTTTATTCTGGACTTGCAGAAAAGACAAGACGGGGTTGGCATAGCACTCAGGGTACAGTGGAAAGGAGCAAGAATTTTTAGGCACAACGAAATGACAGCACTGGAGGCAACGGCATTGCCTTCTTGTAATACTATCGAGATGAGCTCAGACATTGAGTCTTAGAGCCAACCTTAAAAATTGGGTCCAGTTTGGCGGATGAGTCCCACTTACTGGATGGACGGACAACGATATTATTAGAAATTGCTGCTCCGCGCTCATTCCGGGCTGTGCACTGATAGACCCCTTCGTAGGTCTCTGCCTTCCCTTCATTCATGATGTTGATCGTGAGGGTTCCTGAGCCTGGCTTCATGGTGACAAGAGGGTCCTTTTCTATGTCAAAATGCGTCCCATTACGGGTCCAGGAGAAGCTGCCCAACACATAAAGGATTAAGCTTGTTAACAGTCCAGAAAGACAGTGTTACATCCTCTTTCACCAATTCCTAGCCGTTTTGTAGGTTTCGAGAAGTAAGGATTACATTTTAAAGATTTTATTTATATATTTATTTATTTAACAGAGAGAGAGAGATCACATGTAGGCAGAGAGGCAGGCAGAGAGAGGGGGAAGCAGGCTCCCCGCTGAGCAGTGAGCCCGATGTGGGGCTCAATCCCAGGACCCTGAGATCATGACCTGAGCGGAAGGCTGAGGCTTAACCCACTGAGCCACCCAGACGCCCCAAGGATTATATTTTAATACTCAGTGAAAGAACATGAGGCTCTAGACTGACAAAAATGTTTCATTGAATCAGGACTTAGAATAAAGGACCGGCCGTACATTTTAAGGCACGTGTCTTCATTTAGAATGAGCCGGAATCTGTCTCAAGGAAATCGGGCACACAAATTTGCTGTCATTTTTCAAAGAAAACACAGAACGTAGGTCTCTGAGGCACGTTCTCTTAGAGTTTTATTAGCATTTTTATTGTAAACTGCACTGTTCACAGAGTTGATAACCTGTCAATAAAATTTTGCCTTGGGCTGAAATGTGACCAGAAAGGCCTTCCCAGGTACATGTGTGCATCTGAAACGGATCAGACTGGTTTCAAGTTACCAAAATGCAAAGTTGGGGTAAGGCGGTGAGAACGAGTTCAGTGGGGTTTTAAATGTTGGCTATTAAAAGTGCTAATTCTCTCTAAAACACATTCTAAGAAATTTCAATTCTAGGACAGAAGGACTTTGTAAATTCCTCAGGAAGTATTTCAAATGGTCAGCTGCAATTCTTCTTTTTCCTTTTATTTATAGAAAAGATTGCCTTGTACAGAAGTCGTGGCGCTCGTGTAATTAAATACTTTATAACTAGTCATAAATCAACCATGGCCACGCTCATACGGAGCCAGGAAGCTCTGGACCTCACTGTGTTTTGCAGGCCCACTGGGATTTCCCTTCCCACTGCTTACTCTTAGGGCAGTCGTGGTCCCATCATCTCAGGGTGGGAGGGGGTGCGAAGTGGGAACTATGGATGGAGAGGGGGTAGAGGCCAGGGATGCTGGTGAATATCCCTATTCCCACAACAAAAAACTATCTGGCCCCAAATAGTAATCCTGCCCTATAGAGAGTGGCGGCAAGTGGCATGTCAGTGTGAACCCGAAGGGGGACTCCATGAAATGACAACATCTTCGGGCTTGGGTGCTAGAGGTTGCTAACAATATGGCAGAACATACCTTTTTTTTTTTTTTTAAAGACTGTATTTATTTGACAGGGAGAGACACAACGAGAGAGGGAACACAAGCAGGGGGAAAGGGAGAAGCTGGCTTCCTGCGGAACAGGGAGCCTGACGTGGGGCTCCATCTCAGCACCCTGGGATCATGACATAAGCTGAAGGCAGCCGCTTAACGACTGAGCCACCCAGGCACCCCCAAAATCCACATTACGTTTTAATAATAATTATTAAATAATTATTAAAAATTATTATTATTTAAAAATTAAATAATAATTTAATAATAATAACCCAACTCTTCAAACTCCCCGTACATAACTGCAGATGACAGAGCATCTGCTGATCAGCTTCGGGACTTGACTACTGGAGGAGCACTGCCAGGTGTCAGTTTCCCACCTATAACATCTGCTGGCTGGACCAGATAACCTTTCATGTCTCTCCCACCTCTGAAACGCTGTGCAGGGCCCATGCCAAGATCCATATGGAGACTCTGAGTACTGAGCCCTGCCAAGTCTGAAAACCCACTCTTGACTATTTTATAGACCTCTACCGGGCAAGGACGGATCTTTGAAGCCATCAATCAAATTCAGCTTCTTCATTTTACAGAAGAAGAAACTGAGGCCCAGAGAAAATAGGTTCGCCCACGCCATAAGGGCAGTAGGGCCCTTAGAAGGTTTTCCTCTACATCTCCCTATAATTTTGGAGCATTTTGCAGAAAGGGGTGTGTGAGTACAGAAATGCAATTATCTGGGTGTCCGAGAGGAACAATCTGACTCCCACTCATCAGAAAGACAAAACGAAAGGACTGATACATGATACTTCAGAGATAGGCAGGACTTGAAATTGACTTAATATTAACACTGATGTTTATGTTTGGTTCTATAACAGAGCAGAACGCACACCCACCTTGGAGGAGGTTTCCCTTTGGCCTCACACTGGATTACGATATTCTCTCGAGGGTCAATAATGTAATCTTTTGGAGACTGCTGAGTAATGGTTGGAGGCTGTACCACTTAATTGTAGAAAGAAGAACAATGTAAAGAAGTCATTTAAGATCATAACAAAAATCACTCTTTCCATGTCAAAATCACTTGCCCTAGACTAACGATGCTCCAAATGTTTTTCGCAATTTCTATGGTGGCAGCACATACGTTACTAGATTTTTAACTAAAAGTTTCCTAAAACTTTGAAGTCAAGGCACAACATCCTTTTGGTAAGTTTATAGGGATTCACAGAGCACTACAAGTTCGGGAAGGTAATTACCAACACAAGTTTAATATGAAGACCATTTCTCTTCTGATGTAACAATGAGAAATTCTTGTGTTTTTTTGGTTCCAATGATGCTTTTCAATAACATTTCAGTTGCGAGGTAAATGGGCACTTTTTAAGAAAGACTGACTTATAGTTCATTAGTGTGCTAATGTAATATATGTTGGGAACAAATCAATTTGAGAAGTTAGCATTAAAAATATGGGTAAATTAGAGACTTGGCAGTCTTATTAGAGCCAGGAGGTAGGTGGCTACGAGAACCAAAGATAAAATAGTCTCGTTTAGAAGATCAGTGGAACTGGGAAGTGCTCGGTTACAGAAGACAACATTTCTGTTTTGCTCTTCAAAGTGCTATCTGATCATTTATTTTCATATCATATGGGGAAATCGCTCTGTCCCAGAACAATTTAGTCTGAAGGAAGCTGGTTTATGGACATCCAGTGCTCAAGCCACTCAAAGATCACCATGTCCTTCTTGTGAAACCAGAATCACAGAATGTTAGAACAGGAACTGGAGAAACCAAACACTTCCACTTCTGTTGTTGCCCAGGGCAGTTAAATGGCCTGAGGAAGAAGACACAAGCAGAGACCCAAACTCTCCCAGTATAAGCCACTGCCTTGTACAACTCCAGGGAGAGCCATTCACACAGACGAGGGGTTCTCGACCTAGGGTTCCCTCAGAGGACATCAGGCCATTTCTGGAGACAACGCTCGTTGTCACTCCTGGGGCCAGAGGTGGTAGTGGCATCTCCTGGGCAGAGGCCAGAGATGCTGCTAAACATCTTACAGGACAGCCCTCCCCTTTGCTTCCACAAAGACTTATCTAGATCGTTTAAGCTTTTCATATTCTGGCTTTTCCCTTTCTACCCATGCTCTGTGCTTCGTGAAACCTCCTTCACTGGCCAACCAAGCATTTCCCAAATCTTACTACTAATTGCCCTCTCTGCTCTTGTCTTTCTTTACTGTGATTAGCAGTTGCCAGGGTTAAATGTATCATTTCCATGTCTGATGTCCTATGAAGCAGCTAACATGGTTCTCTTCTCTTGTCTGGTCTCCAGTCTTCTTGCTGTCCCCTACAATGGACACTGAAATGTGGGCTCTGGCCATCCAAGTAACAGCTAAAGCCCAGATCAAAAGAAGAGCTCGTTCCTGTCATCATTTATTATGAACCTAATAACTGCTGGATACTCACCAGTACCATTTTCCCTTCCCTTTAGCAAGAGTCAACCCCATCTCAGTTCCCTGTGCTGGGTAGCACCTTGGGCTGGGGGTCAAGAACCCGCCTGATTCCTTCTTACCAGCTGTGAGACTTCTAGGAAGTTTCTTACCTTCTGTAAGCCTTACTTTCCTTAGAGGGAAAATGGGGCTTAAAATTGGTATCTACCTCCTAGGGTCACTGGAAGGAGGAAGTAAAAGAATCTGGGTAAAATTCTTAGTACATGCCACAACCATAATGGTTCAGTGTGAACTCTGTGCAAATTATTGTCATAATCATTTTTATTTGGACCAGCTTCATCTTTGAGTGGTCCTTTACGCTCTGGGAGCATAGAGTTTGGGATGATGGAAAGAAGCCTGGAATTTCATATCCTAACAGTAGATACCTAGGTGGCAGATGGGGGCAGGGACTGTGAAGAGGGCCTCAATCCAATTCCTTGTATTTTTCTGCGAGTGACAGAGGTGCGAGTCTGGTGGCTTCAAACCCAGCACTTCTGTTCACACGTCTGCTGCAGTGCTGGTTAGGTGGCCCCCCTCTCCCAACTGTCAGGAGTCTAAGGTCTGTAAGGACCTCTTTGAACAGTGCTTAGGTCACCTGGCAACTAACAAACACTTATAGGGAGAAAGCTGATTTTACGTGATTTTCCTGGTTAATCCAATCTCACAGGATTTTTTCAAATGCCCGAAAACTATGTTTGAGGTAGATTCTAGGAGCTGCCCAACTGCAGAAGTTTTTGCTTAGAAACGAGTTACGTGGGGAATACTTAATTGTCTATTGCACACTGCAAAACAATATTCAGATTCACGGGGCCGTTGTATTGCTGGGACGTGAGCCTACACAGTCCGGAAGAAGTACGGTGAGGTACAATGCGGCTGACGTGGGTGAGACGTCGGCTCGCGCTCACCTTCTGAAAGATTGCGGAAGACACACCTTGAGGCCAGCAAGCATTTAATGGCATTTAGACCCAGACAGCCATTTTCTTTAAATTTTGTGAATTTTCTCATTGAGTTACATCAGATGCGAATAAAGCTTGGTAGTTAGTCAAGCGGCATAGCGGTAAAAGAAAGAGTAATACCGGAGTCTTCGGAATTCATGCAAGGCATCTATTAAACATTCACATTGCTTCTTGGTATTTAAATGCAACGTTTAGCCAGAGGAAATGCACATGCTCAAAAAGACGTTAGGCACGACCCCTAAAGCTGTGCGTTCCATTCACAGTATTAATTCAAAAACAAAGACACGGTCAAGTGCTCACACTGCCGAGTAATTATGGAAAGACACTTACAGTCTTCAAGAAGTTTTGCTTTTTCCCCATCAATATCAGCAGGTGAGTGGGCAAACGGGATTAAAGAAAACCAGATGTTAGTACTGAGAACCCTGGAGATCAAAGGGGCATCTTTGTCTATTTGGTCTGACCTAAAAAACCAGGAGAGTGAATGTGGAAGTCATGAGGTTGTAAAAGAAAGACGCTCCCACTAATGGTTTTGTTTACTCCTGCATCAGCCATCCTGCATAAACATATGGAAGAACAAAAGGAAGGCTTTCGGCAAAAAAAAAAAAAAAAAAAAAAAAAAGAAAAAAAGAAATCTTCCAGGACTAGGAATGGCTAATTCCATTCCATACATGTGCTGGACAAGTAATTATGTTCAATTTGAAAAATAGCTGAAATCTACAATTAATCTGAGTTGTCACATACTGTGTCGTGTCTGATCCTATTATCCCAGACATCACTAGGCCCCCGGTAATGATACCTAACAATGGGACAACACTACAGTGCCGGGGCTCCATCAGAGCCAAATGCAACACTGGTTTTAGGTTTTTACATTTCTGTGGTTCATCTGCAGTAATTCATCAAGTCAGTAATTGAACTTTTTGGCTGTTAGCCTACTTCTGCTTCAGAATTCCTCCTCACCCAGGGGTTGCTGGTAGGGGCACCAAGGAGCAGCTCAGATGGATGGGGTGTAAGGAATAGGGGCGGGGAAGAAATTACATTAGCATGCAATTCAAATGATTGTGCAGTGCTGCCCGTCATTATTACTTGTAAAGGTTAATGCAAGAGCGCCTGGGTTGTCTGTGACTTTCTTTTCATCATGGTTATGCCTCTTCTCCATTAGCAGCGATAATTGAGTTAGCCGTAGGTGACTGTTTCCCCCTGATTGTTAGATTGAGCCGTCAGATTAAGGGAGAATATATTTAACACAAGAGAGAACAAAAGCCCATTTCTCTCAAGTGCTTTCCTCTCTCTTCTGTAATCTGCTGGGGCAGATGCTTACTTGGGCAGTCCAACTCCAACGGGCTGGTTCCATACAATTTTTTTCTAATTGAAATTAAGGTCAATGAATATTTTTTGAAAGGAAGTAAAATGTTGCATTTTATGGTTCTTTAGACTGTAGATGCACAGCAAAGGAAGTCAACCGAGGGTGGGGTAAGCCACATCTTTTCTTAATGTCTTCCCACTGGGACTTGCAACCTTCTTTGGCAAAAAATGACATCCCCAACAATTGGGACAATAGCCCCAGGAAAGTGCTATCTTCCTTGCACCTTGGAAAGCTTGCCAAACAGATGTTCTATTCAGGAAGCTAATGGATTTAAAGAGGTCAGGCAGATCAAGAATAAAGGATGAATCTGGATTACAGTCATTGTCCAAATCTGAAATTCTGCTTTCCATTGCAAGAGAAGCGACCTGTCGGAACCCAGCATTCTCTTTCTTTCTTATAACCAGGCCACCCAGGGCAGGCGGACTGCAGCATTATCATTCCTGTTAGGAAAAGGGGTGAGCTCTGATACAGTAGCGGTTGCTCGTTCCATTTTAAATAGTGTTTTTTTTTAAACCAAAGATCTTTCTCTAGGCTTTACTAAGATACATGTCCTAGATCCAGACTAATGTGTCAAGTGAATTTTGCCCTGTCGGAATCAAGAGAGATGAATTATGGGCAGTCTGGGGCTACGGAGGGGAGTGGGGTTGGCTGAGAAACCATCCCCCAATCTTTCCAGGGCATTCTGAGCATGTGAGGGGGATGGGTGGCGGTGAGTATACAGTAGTGGGGAGGGGACAAGTGAGAAGTCTCCATGACTGTTTCAAAGTGATTCATACAGTTTTTCTTGCAGGACCCCTTCTATCCAGAGTCACCCGTTGGGAGGATCAGGGGAGCCCACAGTTCGCTCCTTCTCCACCGCCCCCACCACCCCGTGGTACACAAAAGGCACCTGAGGAGAAAGAAAGATAATGACAGGGAGGGGACAATGGTCTGACCGGTTCAATGGCCATTTCTGTGGCGAGACTCTTTGGAAACACCAGGTGCTGTAGGTAAAAGCCAAATTAATTGTGATGAGCTTTCCCGCATCACACAGACACCTTCTCCATTCATGCAGCTCACAGGGAGGGGAACCGCTGGGGCGGCTTTGACTCCCGGGCGCAACAGCTCTACAACGTTAATACTTACAATCAAGAGGGACGTCCAGCGCCCTCACCAGCTGGCACAGGAGGAGAAGCAGGGGCGCCCTGCCTGCAGGTAAGCGCTTCTTCCTCGGCATTATTTCAAGCTGCATTAGCTGAGCTCCTGCGGAGACCCACACACTGAATTTCCTTTTCTTCTTTCGCAAAAGATCTGCGTGCAACGTTTAAATAGTTTTCATGCAGGGAACTGAAAAAGGAGAGAATAAGAATTATAGCGTATTAAAAAGAAGGAAATGAGAGGAAGTCCGCTGCCTGGAAAATCAGTTCTCTATTATACATGAACTCTAAAACGGAGCTAACTTTTTAAATATTTAAGTCTCAGGACTGGAATAATCATTTATTCATAAATCAGCTAAAATCAGGTCAGAAGTATTTGTAGGGATGTCAAGCAAAATCTGTCCACACTGCCATCCTTACGGTTTTCCCATTTTAAATATCGGCATCTATGCCAGAGGCTACCATGTCATTCCTAACAGGAAAAACTTGGCATATAAATGGATTAGTGGGGCGCCTGGGTGGCTCAGTGGGTTAAGGCCTCTGCCTTCGGCTCAGGTCATGATCCCAGAGTCATGGGATCGAGCCCACATCGGACTCTTTGCTCAGCAGGGAGCCTGCTTCCTCCTCTCTCTCTCTCTGCCTGCCTCTCTGCCTACTTGTGATCTCTGTCTGTCAAATAAATAAATAAAATCTTAAAAAAAAAATAAATGGATTAGAAAGTGTGAGTTTAGAGAAGGCCTAATGGCTTCTCCATTCTAGAAACTGTCTTTGGGAAAGTCCAAGGCACTGTTGCACATTTGCTTCAAACCCCAAACACTGGTTTACCAGCTGAACACCAGCAATGAAGGCCTTTCCTATCTCTTACTTAGACCAAGAGAGCAGACGTGCTGGGGTGCCCAGTTCTGGGCTTTTCTTACCAGTCACCCTCCGAAACAGTGGGATCTATCAAATAAAATTCAGTATATCTTTAAACAGATAATAGAAAAACCTTAGTGATCTGGCTTCAATTTATCCTACAACCTTATCCCCTCCTATTTGCATAAAGCTATTTTTCGGTTTGCTGGTCTGTTTCTCCTTCTCTCTCTTAGGTCAGGCCTTCAAAATGCCCTGAATTCTTCCACCTTCATGCTTTTGTCTCCTCAGTTCCTTTTACCTGGAATGCCCTCTCCACCATATTTCCTTATCAAAGTCTAATTTATTTCTTTACAGATCAGTTTAAAGGGAAACACTAGCCGACCAATCAAACTAGAAGTCCTTTCACCCTCCCCCCAAGAGTTCCTAAATTCCTAGTTTTTTTTTAATTTTTATTTTTTTTTTTAGTTTTTTTTTAAATTTTTTTTATTTATTTGACAGAGATCACAAATAGGCAGAGAGGCAGGCAGAGAGAGAGGAGGAAGCAGGCTCCCTGCTGAGCAGAGAGCCCAATGTGGGGCTCGATCCCAGGACCCTGAGATCATGAACTGAGCCGAAGGCAGAGGCTTAACCCACTGAGCCACCCAGGCGCCCCTAAATTCCTAGTTTTAATCATGATTTATATATATAGATAGATACAGAGATGAATAGATTTTTTTTTTCTTTTTTGGGGTATGCATGCTCTCTCCCCTACTCCTTCAGGCGAAGGTGATGTCTCTCCCATTTATGTATCCCTCTCATAACATTAACGTAGTTTGCCCCACACAGAAGAGAATCAGCACAAACCAAATGTAGACCTCTGTCCCACGGCCACCTCCTCCCTGGAAGGAAGCGTCTAATCATGACTTCTCATTTATGAAGACAGGTGGGGGTGACCGGTGGCTTTCTCGAGAGGACAGAGGGTGGCTCCCACAGCTTAATTATTGAATGATTTGTGTGATTTTTATTATTTGTACAATTGAGTAGTTTGATAATATCCATCTTTCCTGCTAAATTGAAAGCCTCCTAAGGGCAGGGACGGTGGTCTTTATTGTTCAATGTTTATTTTTTCCCCAGAAGCCATCGCAGTGCCTGACACACTGTAGGCTGTATATAAATATTTATAGGAGAAAAAAAAGAAGAAAGGGGGAATGCAAAAAGAAATGGAGATTTAAGATTATTGAAGACAAGACTGTATTCAGATAGGTTGTTTGAGTACAGTCTACCTAAAGTTGTGTTTATATTTTACTACTGGGTTTGAAAACCAAACCCTTGTCTATATGGTCAAATTAGCTATCATATCATGTCTGTGTGTGGAAGAGAGCTTACATGTTTAAAAGGAAAGCGAAACAATGCTAATAACGTGTTTTGCTAGCAATTGAGGTTCTGATTTGAACCTGATGACAACTACAGTTGGGACACTTCTTGGTAAACAAATACAAGAAAAAGGACTAACACTAGGCTAAACAGACATTACACGTACATAAATATTGTTTTCTGAATGAAACATCCATATTCTGTGGTTTTAAGATCCAAGAAATTTGTGTTTCCACATTACAATATATATAAAGCAATCATGTCCATTACAATTTCAAGAGACTGATACAGAAGCTCATCTAACTACCTCTTTAAAAAAATTTTTTTTGTTGTTTATTTATTTGTCAGAGAGAGAGCACAAGTAGGGGGAGAAGCAGGCTCCCTACTGAGCAGGAAGACCTGATGCAGGACTCGATCCCAGGACCTCGAGACCATGGACTGAGCTGAAGGCAGACGCTTCACCCACTGAGCCACCCTGGCATCCCTCATCTAACTATTTCTAACCAAAATATACACCAGGCAGTCTTTCTATATGTGCAAACCATATCTCTATCATTTAACCATGTATGCAAACCGTATCTCTATCATTTAACCAGATTTATTTAGGTCTCTAGTGATTTTTCTGTTGAAATGCGAATTCTGAATTTACACATGAGCTTCACAGAAAATGCAAATAAATGGCACTAAAACAGGTTGATGCTACATACTAGGCATATGGAGACAGAACTCCAGACTCAAACACGGAGAAAACGAATGGCTCACCTGCCTGATTTCTGTAAGCCTAGTCAAGTGCATCCCATGTACGTGTCTAGCTCTCCGAAGGGGTGCAGGAGAACTAAAATACTTTCTAAAAGACGTACAGAAAAATTGCAATGCCCATGAGATCTTAAGCAGCTACCCACAATTTCCAAGTCCTTAACTGATGATTTACTTTGCCTGCATGCCTTAACCAGCCATCCTCCCAACAGAGAAAACTGTTAGTTTCATTAAAAAACAAGCATCCTTCCTCCTGCTTTACCTTTTCAGAGTCTACAGGGAATAAGATATTGCCATTAAATCGCAGTGTCGCCTAAAGAAAGAAATTCAAATTTTAAGAAAAATTGAGAAGGTACTTACTTAAAGAGACATGAGTAAATCCTCACAACGAGAGGAGGTCATGAACTAGATGTAGTCTTTCTTCAGAAGTCATGAGCTAACTGCACCGAAAGCCACAAATCTGTCTCCAGTGTGGGTTCTGTTTGGGGAGGATAGAGAGACTGTCCTGCCCAGCCTCTGACTCCTGCCCGTGGAAAATCACCCACTCCTCCTACGTATGCCATCAGAGGTGAAAAACTCAGTGCCTAAGGACAGCATTAGGTCCCCAGCACTCAGTCAAAGTGAAAATCAAATACAGCTACAGAAAATTGAGCTCTCTTTCTGTAAGAGTGATGTGCTGTGCATGTCTCACAAAGAAAAAAACCACCGCTCCTAAGCTCTCAGTATTGATGTCAACGCCCTGCCCAGCTAGCAGCCCATCTGTCTGGTGGTTTGCCTTGCAAAATGCTGGTCATTCCCTCTTACCTGAGAATCATGAGTTAAAACCAAACTGTTTATGCAATTTCATTAAATGAATAAAACCCCAATTTGAAATAGCAGCCTCATGTTTTGTCAGGGCTGAAGGGTATATGTTAATGCCATACAGCTTGAAATTTACAAAAACTACTTGCATGGACATTTTATTATTTTTATATTTTTATTTTTTAAAGATTTTATCTATCTATTTCAGAGAGAGAGAGCATGAGCATGAACGGGAGGGGCCGAGGGAGGAGAGAGAGAATCTCAAGGAGACTCCCCACTGAGAGGGAGCCTAACCCAGGGCTGGATCCCACGACCCTGAGATCACGACCTGAGCTGAAACTAAGGGTTAGAGGCCTAACTGTGCCACCCAGAGGCCCCTGCACAGATATTTTAGAGCATGATCAAACGAGACAAATGGCAGGTCCAAGTTCAGAATATAATTCATGCTGACACTTAAAACCACATATATTGCTAAAATGACCCCAGAGTATCGATAAAGAGAAAGACCTTTTAATATTTCCCTTCATTTAACTCCACTCAAAGCAACTCTTCACAAATTACCTACAGAACCTCTGAAACAGAAGGGAAAGGAACATCTCTTTTTTCTTCAGTAAACTTTCCTTCATTAGACAAGAAATACAAGTCAAGGTTCCCTTACTTCTTTTGGCCTAAAAATCATATTAATCACCGCATTATTTACCATACATTTAAAAAGAAAAACGTGAAGTTTTGACAAAAGTTTCATATTAAGCCCAAAAAACATAGTTCTCCTGTTATTCACTTATGAAGTCTTGTCATTCAGAAGAAGACAAAATCTTTGTTTTCTCCTCTCAAGTAAAAGATGAAATTATTTTAATTAAGAAAATATATCAGCTCTTTTTCAGAACTGGAAGGCCATGCACCACTCACAGTTTCATTCTGGTCTGTTTGTGCTTTTCCACATCCCAACATGGGTGGTTCGATGCCGACTGTAACACGATCTATTCTCTAAGCCAATAAACAAATATGCTAATGTGACTGGATGCCCTTGGGCACACTCATTATTGCTCTGGTGACCCATCAGTGTCCGGCCTCACTAACTGAGTGTGACATTATTTTGGCTATGAAAGGCGTTTTTTCAGCTGTCAACTTGGGGATGGTTACTTTATATTTTGTTAAATATTTGCCATTAGAATGACGTCCATTCTAGCCCATGCTTGCACTTCTCAACTCAGATTTCAAGTCTGAGACTACGGAAGGAAGGTCCATGAGAAATGGACAACGACTTTGCTTAATTGCGAAGTCGCACTTACATCTACACAGCTACATTACCATGAGAACACTTCAGGAAAAGTGGTCTGGGATTTTGTCTCTTCAAATAACAAGCTAAATTTTATGGAACACCAAGGAACATGTTTCTAATTTGGCGCTAGCCCAGAGGGATGTCCCAAAGAGTTTCAACAAGGAATCTGGTAGCTAGAACCTAGAATAGTATGTAAGGAAAGGTGGACAGTTAGCAGGTGTTTTTATCCAAATAATCAATGATAGAACACATCTTGGTAATAGTTCAAATCTTGATTCCTCAGAGCACTTTAACTGGTCATCTTTGATATTCATAAAAACCTCAGAAGATAGGAAAGCAGGGACTGTGCCCATTTAGTAGATGAGAAGGGGGCGGAAATCCAATCACAATGGCTATTACTCATTGAGCACCAACCAGGTACCAGGAATGGCACTGAGTTGGCTCCATGCATTCACTTATCTCATCTCACCAACCCCAAAAGGTAAATCCTATTACGATTCCCAATTTACGAGAGGCAGAATGGTAAAGTCACCTGCTTCAGGGCACCCACTGGTGTGTGAAGTGCGAGACCCAGAGTCCCTGTTCTGGAAAGTTCTGGAGCATCCAGCCCTCTCACATTGCCACACCCTGAAAAGCCCTTAGCATTTCTCTCCCTCTCATAGGTTCTTATCTGGCACGATAGCTAATAAACAAACAGAATCACCAGGTTTACCACTGATGTTGAGAAAAAACACATCACTAATGGATTCTGAATATCCACAGAAGATCTTCACGGTGTCGCTCGGAGCAGGACTTCAGGGGCCTCTTCAGGTGGCATCCCACATGACTACTGTCAGCTGGAACTGCGCCACATGCCGGCTCTGGCCTTTCAAAGGAGCTGCTAGTTAGGACCATGCAGACTAGACACGCTTTAGAAAAGTTAATTATAAATTAAAAGTAGGCACTATATGCCCACTATATGCCCATACAACATTCGTAAGGTACAAAAGACCATAAATTCAACATAAGCAACCCTAGCAACCCCATTTCTCTCCGAGAGGAGTTTTACTACCAAGTTTTGCACATCCTTCTAGAGATAGTACAGGCATAAGAAGTGTAGACATATATAAAACAATATTTTAAGGATCTCTTGAATTTAGAAAAGCCTTTTATAAACCTTTATAAGTCACTGAAGTTAGAGCATCAAAAATACCAACGCCTTTTAACGTGATCTAGCTTTTTGCATCACATGGAACTATTTGGATATTTTCTTTTTCACACTTCCTCCGTTTAGCACAGCCAATGACCAGAAAAGAAGTAGTAGACAATGATCTAATTGAAAGATCTAAGACAAAGGATAAAGCACGCTTAATGCAAAGTCCATAGGGCTGAGACTACCAGTGACCCTGACCAAGGATGCACCTGTCCCACACTTGTGCAGCTGGTTATGTGACGACAGCCGGCATGCTCAGCCCCAGGGGTGACAGAGCTGACTGCAGACGGAAGGACGGAAGCAGTAAGTGACAAAGGGACCCGAGCTTCTCACACCGTGCTTCTGCTCCCACCTCCAAATCCAATGACAGTGAACTATGAATGGAGGGGGCACTATTCCTCTCCACATGCTTGCTCTGATCAGCATGCCCTTCTGCATTGACCCCATCACCCTGACCGAGGTGAGAAGAGTCAGGGGTGGGTGTACGACCAAGGGAGCAGCCATGTTTGAGCCTGTTGAGATGACAAGGCTGTTTTAAAGGCCCGAGGAGTGACCGACAGAGTGGTGACAGACTTGTTTCTCAGGGAGAGGGTAGATATGAGGCAGAAAGGGAGAGTGAGTCAATAATTTGGAGTGAGAACAAAGGCTGAAGACCACAGAAGCAAGGCGGCCTGAGGAACCATGAGTCAGCAGAGGAGACGAGGTGTCAAGAGCAGAAGGAAGCCAGTGCGTAGCAAGAAAATCTGTAGAAACAGGAACAGACTGTTGCCCAGTGACTGCAGCATCATGGAACACCTGACAGGTGAGAACGAGAACCCACTCCTCCTGTACTGTGCTAACCAGGCCTCTACAACTCTTAGTATCCCAGGCAGTGGTCCAGTTCTCCGTGAGGTTGACCAGAATAGTGGTTGTGGTTGAAGCGTCTTCCATCTTATGGACTAAAACAAGCCTGCGTTAATGTGCTAGGTGGACTGTTCCGTGGGTGGCCCATGGGAGGCGCTCCTCACGGCATCCATACCCCCTTGTCCCCTCTCACGACGACTCTGGGTTTGGCCGTGTCAGTTACTTTGGCCAATGGGATTCTAGCAAGAATTACACAACCACAGGTGTGGTGAGCATTTGCACACCGGGGCTCGGGCACTCCTAAGTTCCCTCTGGGAAGCTTGAGCTATGCTACTGCATGATGGGAAGCCAGTGGGAGGAGGCCCTAGGGAGACGAAAAACCATCCTGGACTTGCTGGGCCCAACTGAGCTCTCAGATAAAAGCTGCTGAGCAAGTGACTTCTTAAACCACATGTAGCAGAAGAAACATCTGAGAACAGAGAACCAGATGTTAACTATCTCAGGGGTAACAAACCTTTGGAATTATAAAAACCAATAAATTGTTGCTTCAAGTGGCAAAATTTGGGGGTGATTTGTTACATAGCCATAGATATCTGGAACAATCAATAGGGTAAACTGAGACAGGCTATTTCTTGTAACCAAAAAGGCCTTCATGTCCACATTTAAGGGAACTGAAGATTCCATTGCACACATCCCCTTAGGAGATTATGGCTGGAACCACAAGAATTCTAAACGAATAGTCTGGTGATGGAGGCTTTCCCTCTAAAATGATCTATCGTTCTCTCTTTTCCTGGATATGCTTACTTGTATGCATACTGGTACAGCCGAAAGGCCCATTTCTCATGCCACACTTATACTGAAGATGGTTACCACTGACATCAAACGAATTTCTTTACACTACAGTAATGGTGGATTATGCCTAATTTAGGGTCTTAGACAATATATCTATTGCTAACGCAGAAAAGCAAAAATGGAGCTAGCAAACAGGTTGAGAGGGAGTCAATGTTCTTAGTCTATCCCTCCTACCTTCCCATCTTCATGAATCAGACTAGAACTCTGAGCTCAGTCTTGGCGTCAGCTTGGATCCACTCACTCTCATAGCAAACACGGAACATGAAGAAGCGGGAGGAGGAAGAAGGAAGCCAAGACAAGTCTACGCTTCTATTGAAAGGTTCTCCTCCCAGGTGGTTACCTTCAGATTAGGAAAGAGAAAGTTCCAATTTTAAGAAATTGAAAATAGGGAACTGTTCTAAAGGTGAAGCCTGAGAAACGGAAATTTCATTCTGAACACAGGTCTCGACAATAATCTATTTGGCAACATTCGTCAAGCTGCTGAAACACGCTCCAGCTCTATTTTCCTTCTTGTAAACTGAGGTTTTCTATAAGTATCACTGAGAAGATGTAAGGATCAGAAATGGTTTATTAAACCTTCAGCATAAAGGTCTTATGGGATATTCGTATTCTAAATGGGCTATGTCTTATCCATTTGTCAAGTAAACAATACATGGCAAAATGGCAGCCGTTTAATGGTAG